CTACTATAATTTTTGCTAACTTCTATGTTTATTTTGAGGATAAATTTCAACAATTTCTATTGATCGTACGACTAGTGTAGGATAAAACTGGACCATAAATTGTTTATTTAATTGAAAATTAATTTAAATTTAAATATAGACTGTTTGCGTAATTATTAACCAGCACTATTTCTTAAATAGTTGTTTTCTCTAGAACTATCTACGGTACCGACTTGAAACAAAATTCATTTTCAATGGCGTTTTACCTTGAATTCTATGAAAATTAAAAAATTTTTTAACATAAAAGAGGTTATCTTACGAATAAACATCAAAACACAACTTTCTGTACACACAATGCAAAAAATTAGAAGCACTTTGCCTCGTAAAAGAGAAAAAGAAAGACTGGTAGTGTTAATAGGTTCACGATAACTTATAAATTATATTACAGAGATTTTCAATAAATCCTGAGAGTATATCGCCCTTAGAAGACGGAGAGATATTACGCTTTAAGGAAGTACTCAAACATTCATTTGCATGGGCCATTTCCTCGCTTCCCTCGCCAGTTCATGAATCCCTTTGACACCATAAATTAAAAAAAGATTCAACCTATCCATAAAAGAGTCGTGATGTGATATATTCCCGAGACGACGAAGTTTGAAATGAATTTTTCCGACTTACATCCCACGAGCTCGAACGATAAATGATAAAGAATTTTCTAATACGAAATATTGAAAATGTAGAGCCTGGTCTAGCATCCGCGCGAAAAAGCGAATCGAGAATGTAGAATGAAACGTTTCAGAGAATGTTTTGATTTCGAGAGTTTGTTGGATGCGCGATCGAGTACGACGCGTCTGTCCATTACTCGTTATTACTACTTGTGTTCGTGCTCCATTGCACGGGTTCCTCATGAATATTCAAAGTCAATTTTTTTGCAAAATAATACACACTGCCCGAAGAAGGGGGGAAAAATTCGAAACTGGTTGCAGCGTGCTATTTTCCGTCCTCCCGTTCAACCAAATTCAATTAAAACGGACAATAGTGTACGGCCGCTGTAGTCAGCAAGTTGGATAGTTTCCAACTGTACGTAGAACGGACTAGCGTACAATACCGTAGAATAAACTAGAATATGTTAACACGATCGTAAACTGAATTAGTGGACAGAAGTACAAACTAGAATTTTGTATCATTAGTGTTGCACTTTAACGCAACACACTGCTCTAACATAGTACTTCCGAGTTAGTTCACGATCATTCGGATCTTTTGATCAACTTTTGCCTGAAAATTCCACTCGAATAAGAATATCTCGATTCCAGTCGTTGAAAGAGAAACGATCGTTGGAGGTTTGCAACGAATCGCGCAAGTTTCGAGGGTGAACGACACGGATCGCGGTGTACGTGTTCAGAAATTCCCCGATATTCCGCGGAATAGTAAAACATACGCGTTAGAGAGCCGCTAAGGTAGCATTAGCGCGATACGAAACACTGAATTTCCAGGATGCAAGAACACCGCGAAAATATAATATTCCCTGTACGACGATGCCGTGACGGCAGGGAGAAAATATCTGTCAGGTTTGCCACGCGACGAGACTGTTCCCAAGTTTTAGGCGTTCCTTTGCGGGGGCGTCTTCCATACCCTAAGTTATAGCACCGATGAAACGTGCACCTGAGAGATGGGAAATTCATGGTCTCGTATAAAAATCTGACGAACTTCTCAAGAAAAACTGATTTTCTCTCTTTTAATAAATTTGACAAAATTTTAATTACATATATAATAAAATATAAAATAAAATATATATATATATATAAAATTTTATAACTGATTTTTTTTTCATTTACAAAATTTAATACTATTATTAATTAAGTGCTGTCCTTAAAGGAATCATTGTAAGATAGGGGCTAAAATTTTATAACTGATTTTTTTTACATTTACAAAATTTAATTTGACTTGTCAAGCGATATTGACAAATTTAATACTATTATTAATCAAGTGCTGTCCTTAAAAGAATCATTGTAAAACAAAAGCTATAATTTTCTGATTTTCTTACATTTTTAACAATACTCGAATAGAAATTTTTTAAGTAGTAATATTCAATAATGGTCAGACGCGTTGATAAAGCCATAATAAATAGCACTACACCAAATGAATTTTTATAATAGATTTCCCCAAAAACGAAGGTTCATATGCAGTAAATTTTGGCCTGCATTTTCCATTTATTTTAAATACATTGGAATTCGAAAGAAGATCCTGTTCTTATCGAGCAGAGTTTCATCGTCAAAGGCGAAAATAACTCCAAAACGATATTATTTTCCTCGTCCTATAGATAACATTCTCAATTAATAACGTTTATAAATAAAACGTTGGCAACTTTCGACGAGTGTGCTTAATAATGAACAAACGTTACCGAAACGGAACAAATTTTTTCCCGGCGTTGGTAAAATTGGTCGACAACTCCAGCTGCGAGATTACAGCCATGGAAGCGATCGTTAATTACGCGTGAACTGATTAATTGATCCTCTCTCCGTCGTCTTAAAATACCAATTCTCTCAATATATATATTTTATATTTTTGTTTTCGTTGTCCATCGATTCCCGATAGCCGGTCGCGGAACGAGCGCAGTCTTCCGAGGGATTTAGTATTTTCTATATCAAGTGCTTCTCCCCCTCCCCTCTCCCCCCCTAGTCGCGTCGTTTCTGGTTTATATTCCGGGGGGGGGCTACAATATGGCCCCGCCTATACGCTGGCTACGAATGGAAATTGGAAGTCGGGTAGCGGAATATCCCGCCACTGTCGCGTCGGGATTACCCTATTGTGCCGCTTTGCAAATGCAATGACGAAAAGAGAACACGGAAAGCGAGCCCGCGTCGATGCGTTTCGATTGATGTATCGGGGAGAGGAATTAATCGACCGTGGAGATAATGGCCGCAATGGGTCTTTGACGTTCGGGCTATCGGTACGGTAATGAAACACGGGAATAATTTTCCTGCAATTACAGCCCGTCGCCACGTTCTTCGATAATGAACCGGTCCAATTCTATTCTTCCACCAGCAAAAAAAACAACTAATCTTTATTTAGATCGTTCGAGAAACGCTCCTTTCTGACGTTTACACTGTGTATAGAGAATTGTGATAAAATTCATACTCTTCTTGGTTGTGCTACGATCATTAGAACACGATATTCTGACGATACGATTGGGGACTCAATCTACGCTCGTGGCGACAGTTCCTGTAGTCACCGCCAGAGGGCCATGCTCTTGTCTCTCTCGCAAGCGCTCGTCTGTTTATTCTTTCTACAACAGAGTTGCCCATACACGATATAAAAAGTGGTCTTGACAGTTTAAGTAGTATTTAAGCATAGCTTAAACACCTTTTATTGTATCCCATTCGATTTCTTAAAAAGAATTGCAACATCTGAAATACAAGTAGAGTTCCATTCGACATTGTCCTCGATAAATTTGCTATACTTTTACTTTAGAAAACTTCGACAGAAGCTTCCAATTATCCCGACGGGTAATAAAATCAGAATAATTAAAAAAGAAAGCAAAATTGCCAGCCTTTGTTCACTTCCCTTACTGAAAATTTGATTTCTCCGTGCAATTTTCAACACGTCAAATGCCCAACGAAACCCGCAGTCAGATTCGGGCGAAGAGTAACGGCTAATTTCGCGACGATTTCCGGCAACTTTTCGGCAAACCACGGACTGGCAGGTGTTCGCCTGGCCACCGCGGTTACATTATTTGCAGACACTGTATCTCACGGTGCTCGTAAATAATGCGAAACGTTAATGCAGCCGAAAAAAAGAAAGACGAGTTACGCCGCGCCACGGTGCACTGTTATTTGCGCGAAATGGTTCCGCGACCGGCGCTCCTCCTAACTGCTGTATTTGCATGTTTACAACAGTTGCGCGGGTTCCCGATGGAAATAACATATATTTCCAGGCCAGTCTCGAGCGCCATCGAACTTTTCGACAGGGGGGAAAACTCCTTCGCGCTTTTCCAATATTCCGCGCGGAAAACCCGGCACGACAGCTGCACGGAATTGTAGGTCTCGATTTAATTATCGTGAGTCTCGCGTCAATTTTTCCATCCTTGCATATTGTGTCTCCGAACGTTGTCCACCGTGTATTGCATCTATAACGCAAGAGATTTTCGCGTTGATCTAACATTTTGGAAAATTCTCAACTTTGAGTCTTTGAAATAAAAAAAGAATTTCGCGATGACATCGAGTAATCGTGTTGCAAGCTGAGACTTTTTTTGGGCCAGTATCTTCGAAACCTAGGGAACTCATCAGGCTCGTAGACGTTGCAGAAATTAGGAAAACAGAGTGAACTTCGTCGTAGACAAGTTTCTACACCTGAAGGTGTAAATTTTCTGGAAAATTTGAGCAGGGGGAATCCAAACTCCGTTGGAAGGTAAATTCATTTCGTCGAGACAGAACAAACTTCGAAATGCTACACATCCGGAACGAGCTAACTTCGTATCGTCTAATTTCGTTTGACTGGTTTGACACGTTCGTTTTTCACCGTGCTCTTCGAATTGTAACGTAGAAATAAGTGTTTACTAATTAATGAAATTCAAATTTCGATAGATTGTTTTTATTTAGTGGTGATGTATAATGCAAGTTGAAAAGTTTCTAGGAAAGCGAGTGTGCTACAAGAAGAGGTTAGGAGGACCTAGAGTCGAACGTAATAATAACTGTTTTACTAGATAATTAAAAATTCAAAATATAATGAATTTAAGTAAAAGAAATTGTCGATGAAGAGTCGACTAAAGACGACCGTAGATATACATATATGCTATGGCGATTAGCGAGTTTAGTCGACGCCATTTTGGCGCATTCGGTGGCTGTCGACTATTACTATTTTATACTTCGTCATGAAATACTTCAACCTTCCTAAATTTATATAATTCAGGGGCTGTGACAATTTGATTGTTGCAATAATATTTCGCGAACGAAGTTACGTGCACGAATGTGTTTTCCCCAGATACTGTATATTAGTGGATAAAAAATATTTTGGGATCTTACCTTGTCTTCCAACATATGTGTGAGTTAACAGAAACTTATCATCGTGCAGGTTATGGAGGCGCGTGGAGCGATACGACGCATCCAGAGTCGCGTAGACAAAGTACTGAAAGCGAGACACAAGTTGGCAGGAGGAGCGTAGATTTGTTTAAACTTTGGAACGTTAATAAAGACGGTGAAAAGCTTACGAGGATCCGCGGGCCGCAGAAATAGCGAAACTGTTACGAATGAAAGAAACCCATCGGTGCAGTCTTCTAGCCGTGCGTGACGCGACACTCGCTCGATCGAACAACGGCCATTTGCATGTTTGATGTGGTCACCCGATGTATCGATTATTCGTACACGATTGTGTGTGGCGGGAAATGTTAAACTTTGTTCGCGAACAGTATCTCTCGTATTCTTTCGTTACGGTATTCCGTTTAAATTTAGATATCGTTTAAATTCAAACTAGGCTAATTATACGGCTAGCTGGATGCAAGTTGGCAAACAAATTTAGTCGCGGAGTGATTTTTAACGTAGCAAATTTTTAGTAGTTTCTGTATTTACAACTCCCACAGATTCACAACGTTGTCTCTTCTAATATTGTATATTAGAAGTGTTCCTTTACGAGCTCACTTTCTACGCGAGAACACAAATGTAATTTGATAATGTAACCTCTTCTCGTAGTCCATTCGTGTCATTTCTCTATGAAAACTTTTTTAAAATCGTTTCTATGTTCGGTGCTATCAGACTCTAACGATCAATTCGTTCCAAATGCGTCGTACACCATTTAGGTCGATCGAATAGGGAGGTGTATTAATCACTTTTGGACATTCGTGCAACAGCTGTCGGAATTTTGTTTCGACCGTTGTTTTAATATTTACCTTACGAACTCGAGTGCTCGATAGAACTCAAATAACGAGAGGCGACAATAATTGTTTACTATTCAATTTTCACGCATTTCGAGGCGTCGTGTTTATTATTCCAGTTCTCGTTTCAAACTCGAACTTCCAAAAAAAGGAAATTAAAATTTCGTAAACTTTTCATCGAAATAGCTACGAGCGTAAAGTTCTGTTTTTTGAAATCGTTCGAAAGTACTACCCCTCGCAATAATTCGAAAAAATTTGTTCGAACGGCGATCGAAATCAGATTTGTCGGTGACGCGAGTTCTACGAATCTCGTTTGGGGGATGGAAATAAGGGCTCGGGGTCATCGGGGCGGAACGTCTCCGCTTGAAACTGATACAGACAAGCACGGACAGCTCGAAAAGGGTGGTAACGAGAGCCGATAAGCGCGAGCCAAGCCGGGGCGATGTTTCTTTCTGCCTGGATTTCATCGACGGTTCCGTGGAAGGGGGCTGGGGGAGGGGGCACGGAAAATTTTCGCGAGATAACGTAACGTTTATTGGCTCGCGAAACGATTCGCAGGAGTGAGAATATCGGGTCGTGGCACGAGCCAGGGAATCCGGTAAGCTTTATCGGGATTTCAGGACGTTCCAGAATTATAGGCGTACATAAATTTCTTCGGCCTTTGGCCCAAGGAAAGTCTTTTTTTTTATCGCGATATCGACCACTTTTAATTCAAACCCGCCCCCCCGTTATTTTCGTATAAAACTGCATAAAGACACTGGGCTTAGTGTAAATTATTGACTTCTCCTTTGGGAGCATTTCTTCTCGAAAATATGGAATAATAAATTTATATATTTCAAGTTATCTAATGACATGCGTGTATAGTTACTCCCACTTGTATTCGTGCACTATAAATGGGCGAAAAAATTTATATTTTATGGGTCGAGTTTGTTGGATGTTGGGAACACCGATCCTTGTTCGATCACCAAAGTGCAGCATCATTGGGTCGCGTGCAGTGGCAGGATGGGGTGACCGCTCAGGGGGAGAAAATACATATGAGTGATTTTTATATACTGTTTAAATTGTTAATACTTCCTTATTTGTCTGTTAACAATAAAAAACAATAAAAAAACTACATTGTAAGTAGGGAAGTTAGCACACAATGTAATAAACACAATATTTGGTAAAAATTGGTGAGAATTCCGTAAAAAAGTTACGAATGGGAGTGTAATAAACTGTGTTAATCCAATTATTTGAATAAAAATTCATCGTGGATGACCCAAACTAACATCGAAACGTCATAATATTTCATAGAAATAAACGAGGGAAAAGAACCAGTTTTAGAATAAACAAAGAGTACAACAGTGATGAACTTCTTAGAGATATGATATTTGCATCTGTGGAAATAAACTTCTCTGTGAATGCTTAATAGTGATTTATTTTTATATACTGTTTAAATTGTTAATACTTTCCTCATTTGTCTGTTAACAATAAAAAAACTACTTTGTAAGTAGGAAAGTAGCACACAATGTAATAAACACAACATTTGGTAAAAATTGGTGAGAATTCCATAAAAATGTTACAAGTGGGAGTGTAATAAACTGTGTTAATCCAATTATTTGGTCATATTTCATAGAAATAACCGAAGAAGAACGTGTTTTAGAATAAACAAAGAGTACAACAGTGAGATGAACTTCTTAGAGATGATATTTGCGTCTGTCGAAATAAGCTTCTCTGCAAATAGTTGGAAAGTACTTGTTGTTATTGGCAACCGGAAAAACCGGTGAGGAAGGCTTGTTGTAAGTAGAAGGCTCCCCGGAAATGCACGAGGAACACTTGAGAAAACACTTGCTAGTTTTAGATTTAGTAAATTAAGGTAAACTTTGTGTCAATGGGAGCTTTATATCCGCACTTTTCTACTAAAAGAACATTTCTAAGAAGCTTCGAGCACCCGAGTGTCTCGATATTATTGCACCTGGTGGTTCGAAAACGTGGTCTTCCCAGAAACTTTATGTGTTAAATTGGTGCAAAGCAGTATTAGCTTGAATTATGAATAAACTTTATGAAATTGCAGTGTTAAGTATATAATTACGAAAGTCAGTTGGAAGTATGAAATTAGCGTGGAAATTAATGAAGTATTCGAAGACTGCGAAAGTTTCTCAGGCAGCATGCTGGTTTCATCAAAATTGTTGGCATCGCGAGGGCGTTTAAAATTCTACGCGATTTTTTTGGACGAGCATTCAATTCACTTATGCTGTCGCGGAGCTGCGTTTGCAATTTTAAGTTACGAGGTGTCAGTCTTCGTCCAATTACCCGTTGGACGTTTAACTTTCGTTTCACACCTTTTCACGGAACTTAATTCGAAACTCTCCGACAGATTATCTATTCTTTGCTGCTCGAGTTCCACGCGTCTTTCGAAGTTTAGAAATCTCTGGTGGAAAGCTTCCATTAGAAACAAATTAATCGTAGTAAAAATTTGAATATAGGATACAGGAATATCAAACCCCTTTTGTATATATTTTTATTTCATTTTCTTTCTTAACTTTGTTGCGATGGAACGTTCCATCCCTTGCAAACTCTGTTTCGTAATTACCCCGGTAATTGTAAAAGTTGAGAAAAGAAAGGTTCTAGAAAAACTGGATTCACGTTATAATACCGCAAAAAGCAAATGTTAAAAGACCCTTAGAGTACTTTTATAATTACTGTCGCCCAATCAACTGGCGTAAGTCCAGAATTGCACGAAAAGAGTCTATCGCAAAAATAGTGACTTGTTTTGTTTATTTACGCATCAAAACTGGGACGAGCCCGTGAGCTTTCGTTCTTCCCCAACCGAAGATACAAAAAATCGATAGAGAAAAAAATCCCCCGTTTCGATGACGTAAATTTTCGGTTTGATGCAACGTCTTGTTTTGTTAAACCGAACTGTGCGTTCCTCTGCACAGAAAAAATTGATATCTTCGTACAATAAAAATGGACAGAATGTCGATGCAATACAACCACTATCAGCACACTTTTACATCCAGCTCGGTCGATTCTTTCTTTTGCGGTGCTTGGTAAATGACAAAGTGTGCACACTTTGTTGCAATCGATGACGTAAATATTAAAATTAATCCAGTTAACTACTACGGTGCTTGGAAAAGTGACGAAAACTAAGGAAATCGTGCGATAAACTATTTCGAGCATTTTTTAAAAACAATCCTGCTGTTAAGTTTGTCAGTTTCCATAAAATTAAGGGGCTCGTTGACACTGGAATTACCAAAATGATTCGTTGATAATTTTTAATAAAAATAGTAATTTAGCTTATCATAATAAATATTCAACTATGGATTTAATTTATTTGCTAGAAATAAATGCACTATAATTACTCGTTAATAATTTTCAATAAAAATAGTAATTTACCATAGCTTATCATAACATCTATTCACCTATGGATTTAATTTATTTGCTAGAAATAAATGCACTATAATTACTCGTTAATAATTTTTAATAAAAATAGTAATTTACCATAGCTTATCATAATATCCATTCAACTATGGATTTAATTTATTTGCTAGAAATAAATGCACTATAATTACTCGTTAATAATTTTAAAAAAAAATAATAATTTACCATAGCTTATCATAACATCTATTCACCTATGGATTTAATTTATTTGCTAGAAATAAATGCACTATAATTACTCGTTAATAATTTTTAATAAAAATAGTAATTTACCATAGCTTATCATAATATCCATTCAACTATGGATTTAATTTATTTGCTAGAAATAAATGCACTATAATTACTCGTTAATAATTTTTAATAAAAATAGTAATTTACCATAGCTTATCATAACATCTGTTCAACTATGGATTTAATTTATTTGCTAGAAATAAATGCACTATAATTACTCGTTAATAATTTTTAATAAAAATAGTAATTTACCATAGCTTATCATAATAAATATTCAACTATGGATTTAATTTATTTGCTAGAAATAAATGCACTATAATTACTCGTTAATAATTTTTAATAAAAATAGTAATTTACCATAGCTTATCTGTTCAACTATGGATTTAATTTATTTGCTAGAAATAAATGCACTATAATTGCTAGTTCCAGTGTGGATACGTGGGTGGGATTTTAAAATGGAGATTCAAGGACGAACGTCGATGTTACCAGCTCGCGTCGCGTCTTGTTATTGCGAGTTGCTTGAACCTCCGGCAATATCGAGCAGACGTGGGTGGCGTGAATGGGACAGGAGGTACAGTTATTGCCAAATGTTCGCGCGACCGAGAAAATTGAGCAATAGTACGAGAATCTCCGGTTAGGTCCGTGCCAGAGCGCGTTTCGCGAGCTCGCAGGTGCGCGACGGAACGTATTCGAACGAGAAACGATCCAACAAATACGCTGAATCGGCCCGGAAAAATTCTCTGGTATCGCACGAAACGGGAATAAAGGCGCGACCGGATCGCAAACATGGCGATGGACGGGAAGGAGACAGCGATGGACGACGACGGGAGCTGGAGGAGTCGTTTGCTGGCGGAGAAACCACGGAACGGGGAATTTTATTCCAAGTTGTATGCTTATCTTCCGACAAATTGAGCGGCGTATTGGCCATCGTAGCTCCTCTTTGGCGGCTGGGTTCCAGAAATAGCACGATCAACGCAACGTTTCGCCGACGAGGATCGCGACTTGCGCGAAACACTGCATTCTCACTGGTGCAGACACTTGTTTCGACACAGTTTCAGCGT